TGGTGCCAAGGTACACAGTTGACAGCCCAGAGTTTGCAAGTTCAAAGCTATAACAGAAGCAGTCACAGCATGGCCCTGCCAGTTTTGAACAAATCTGTGAATTCTGCTAAATACCTTGTCACAAGAAGGCACAAAGAAGGAAGGAAGTTGTGAAAGCTGGCAGTTTATCCAGATTCAGAAATGGATTGGGTAAATTCTTGGAGAAAAGGGGCATCAGTAGCTATTGAGCATGAGAGTTAGGAGTAGAGCCTCTGAATCAGAACTTTGTAGACCTTAAATGCTGGAGGCTATAAGTGCCCCCCCGCCCCCCGCCTCCCCCCGGTCATAACCAGTTCATTCTACATTTTAGCATCTACTCTCTGCCACTGTGACAGTGGGGTGAGTTTCCCATCTTTGGAAAACCTCCAAATCTATTGAGGGTGTGGCTCTGGTGCTTCAGCTTGTAGACCACTGGTTAGAAATCTCCATCTGTCTGTCCCTGAACTGGGACATTTCAGGCTGGGGGGTGAATGTAACACCCACATGCACTTGGGGTTGTGTGTGGTCAAGTGTTTCTGGATTTATTTTGCTGTGTATCTTGTTTGTGCTGTATAGTTTGCTTCCTCTGGGACCAGAGAGGACCCCCCCTCCTATCCCCCCTTCTTGTGTCCAGACTCTTTGTCTTAAGTTTCCCTCCAAGGAACCTGTGGAACCAGTTTGGTGGCTCTGGTCACTTCATCAGGGGTTGTTGACCACTTTTGAAATGATTGGAATGCATCAGCAGGGTTCAAATAATGCCTCTTTCTAGTTGGAACAAAGTGATGAGGTGAAAAAAAGTTTTTAAGGGTCAGACCACCTGGTCTGGGGGCTCTCTTCCTCTGGCAGGCATCCTGGACCAGACTCAAGCAGGGACCTCAGGCTGCCATCTGCATGAATCACTGAATATGCCTGAAGACTAGTCAGAAAGTTAGATCTAAGTAATTTAGATGTGTATCAAAAGGGCCACTGAACTCAATACTTGATGAAAGGCTCAACAAAAAATTCTGTTTTGCTCAGGGCCTTTTCTTTTAAGATTTATCTGTCCTGTACCCCTTCCTCTTTCTCCGCATCTCTGATCAATAAAAAAGCTGTCTGTTGCAGCATGCCTGGCTGTGTATTTTTGAGGGGAGAGGAAAAGAGACAAGCCCTTATAGCTCCCTTTGCTCCGCTAGCTAAGGTGGGCATGGCTTTTTACTTTCCTCCAGTACAGGAGGCTACTTTTGAATGCTTCAGGCTAAAAGAAGCACCACAGAATACTACAGTGGGCTAAGCACCCCAAAGGTCTGCAGGGTCTGTGTACCTTGGGCTGCACAGAGTGCTAACAGAGACCAGAGCTTGGGTAGTGGCAGTGATTACCCCAGGCTCGTGGGTGTGCTCCAGGAAAGGAGTTAGCCAGATGTAGGCACCTCAGGGGAGACACCTGAAGCGTGGTTTTGGGCATGGCACAGTAAGGTTGGTGGCTCAGCGTAGTAGTGCCCCCTACTGTCCTGCCACAACCTCATCCATGGTGGTCATGGTCTTGTGCTTGGTGTGCTCCATGTAGGTGATTATGTCGTGGATCATGTTCTCCAGGAAGACCTTTAGCACCCTGCAGGTCTCTGTTAAGATGCTCTCTTCTTGAGCATCTTGACAGTGCATCCAAATTCTTCATTTAAGGTTATTTGCATGCCTGAGTTAATGTTTTTAGCTAGACTTAAAAATAGTCTTCAGTACTCTGAAATAGGAGCTACATTACCAGGAGCAACTAACAGACAACATAATTGCAGAAGAAACAATACCTTGATTAGTGGAACCATTAAATATCATTACAAAGGGGAGAAGATTTTTAATACCTGTGGAATGATGAATTTAGAAGGAGTCAGGTAGATTATAATGAGCCATGAAGTCAATTGGCTCCCTCATTGTTGCCTGAATATAAATGCTACTGCCACTGCCTGGCCATTGGTTTTAAACTTTGGGTGACCAGAAATAAAAGGGTGCAGGGTGCAACTGTACCACTGTACCCATCTCCTGGATTCAACCCTGAATAAAGATGCTTAAATACCCCAAATCCCTTTCAGTTTCAGCTAATTGAAAAACATACAACTTGCTTTTTCTGGTATAGCAATGGCAACAAACAATAACTCTCAGAAGCAATATGTATCCACTGAAGAATGCATCAGAACCAAAAGTGACCCATGAGAATTACTACTTACAAATCTGATGATGACAAAAGAAACACCATCTAACACCAGGGACTGAGGATATGCTCTTGGATCTGACTGAGGCAAGTTCAGGTCCAACCTTATTTGAGCTTAATCATGGCCACCTAATCATGGCCCAGCTGAAGTCAGTGGCTTTTTAATGAAGTCAAGATTTCACCTCCCATGCTGAAGTAGAGTTTGAATACCAGTGCCTGGGTCTGATCCTTAACATCAGAAAAACAACATGCTTCACCAGCTTGCTCCAGGGCAACCAACCCCATGGCAAAAATCCTCATTGATGGACAGGAACTGGAGAATGTTGAAAACTTAGCATACCTCAGCAGCCATCTCTGAAAGGCAGCCAACATCAATGAGGAGATTTAGTATAGGTCACAGGTCACAAAAGCCTTGGACACAGGTGTCGCAGTGGACATAGTCTTCCTGGATTTTAGGAAGGCCTTCGACACTGTCTCTCACCCCATCCTCATTAAAAAAATAAGGTGTCTGTGGTGTTGATGCCTACACAGTCAGATAGGTCTCAAATTGGATGGAGGGCCGCACCCAGAGAGTGCTGGTGGACAGATCATTTTCAACCTGGAGAGATGTGGGCGGTGGGGTTCCCCAGGGCTCGGTCTTCAGGCCCGCACTGTTCAATACCTTCATTGACAATTTGGACGAGGGGGTGAAAAGCACCTTGTTCAAGTTCGCAGATGACACTAAGATGTGGGGAGAGTGAGCACACTAGAAGCGAGGGACAGGCTACAACTAGATCTCAACAGGTTACAGAGGTGGGTGGATGAGAATAGGATGGATTCCAGTACGGACAATTGCAAGGTGTTGCACCTGGGGAGGAAGTACCAGCAGAATACCTACAGGCTGGGGAACTCCCTTCTTGTCAGCACAGAGGCAGAGAAGGATCTTGGAATCATTATTGATTCCAAGATGAACATGGGCTGCCAATGTGGGGACACGGTCAGGAAGGCTAACTGCACTTTGTCATGCATCCATAGATGCATCACAAGCAGGTCCAAGGTGGTGATCCTCCCCCTCTATGTGACATTGGTCAGGCCACAGTTGGAGTACTGCATCCAGTTCTGGGTGCCGTACTTCAGGAGGGATGTGGACAGCATCGAGAGGGTCCAGAGGAGGGCCACTCGCATGATTAGGGGGCAGCAGGGCAGGCCCTACGAAGAGAGGCTATGGGACCTGAATCTGTTCAGCCTCCACAAAAGAAGGCTGAGAGGGGATCTGATGGCCACCTATAAATTTGCCAAGGGGGACCAGCAGGCAATGGGAGAGTCCCTGTTCCCCTGAGCACTACCAGGGGTAACAAGGAACAATGGCCATAAGTTGACTGAGAGTAGATTCAGGCTAGATATCAGGAGGCACTACTTCACTGTCAGTGTGGCTAGGAGCTGGAACCAACTTTGAAGGGAAGTGGTGCTTTCCCCTACCCTGGAGTCCTCAAAAAGAGGGTAGACAGCCACCTAGCTGGGGTCATTTGACTCCATAATCCTTTCCTGCCCACAGTAGGGGGTCAGACTAGATGATTTGCTTAGGTCCCTTCCGACCCTGCCAACTATGAAACTATAGGATCCAATGTGCCAGTTGTACCTTCATTGTGTTTTCAATGATCATGACACTGGGACTTGAACAAAGCTCCTACTATATAAGACGGTCAGTGTTCCCTCTAAGTTGTGTGGTATGCATGGCTGCACAGGCGCGCTCATGCCGCACTGCCAGGCATGGCCACACATGCCACACATCTTAGAGGGAACACTGAAGGCAGTGGTAATCTCAACTCTTCTCTATGGCTGTGAAGCTTGGGTGACCTACAGGGACCACCTGAAAAGCCTGGAGTGCTATCACCACTGCTGCCTTCAAAAGATCCTTGGCATAAAGTGGGAGGATCGTCACACAAATGCCAGTTTCCTCACCGATGCTAATACCACCAATATGGAAGCACTGATTATTCAGTATTGGTTGTGGTGGACAGGGCATTGTGTGTGCATGTCTGATGTATGTATACCAAAAGAACTGCTATACTCCCAAGTCAGCCAAGGACAAAGGACACACAGGGGCCAGAGGAAACGTTTCAAGGACACCCTCAAGGCAAACATTAAAAAGTGTGGCATTGACACCACAAATTGGGAAAAACTAGCTCAGGACAAGGCTACATGTTGATGCCTTCTGAGAGAAAGCACATCTTACTTTGAGGAAAACCATCTTGCTCTGGAGGTGGAAAAATTACAGAAACAGAAGGAAAGGGAACAAAACTGAGAAATCTGTGGTCTGACTCTCCCTTTAACCACCACCTGTGGCATTTGCCAAAGAGTGTGTGGCTGTAGGATTGGTCTTAGCCATCAACAGACTCATTTACAACCCTTTACTTAACCCATAGGAGTGATCATCCTCAACTGTGACAGATCTCTAACAACGCTTATCCACTGTACCAAATTCTGCAAAAATATTTTAATGTTGTTTATTAGTATATAAATAACATTTATTATGTATGGTAAGGAAGAGGATCAGGAAAAATAAAGTGAAAAAATCAAGAGAATTAGTCACTGTAAATTTGTACATATTTTTTTCATGTCAGGGCTGGTAGCACTATTTATTAAGGTTGCTCTGCAAATATGAGACAGACACTTACTTTTTAATGTTCCCAAATTGTAAGTATTTGTAACGGGGGTAGGAGAAAAGTTGGTGGGTAGGGGAGAGACAAACAGAGCCTTGGATGTACAGCCAGTGGGAATATGGACTGATTGCGGAAGAAGGTGGGGAGGTGGGGAGGAGAGACAAAATTGAATGGAAAATTACCAGGCAAGAGATTAAGACAAAAACTGGTGCAGGAGCCAGATACTAGGAGAGGGGAAAGGACAGACTCGATGAGGAACTTGAGAGGTAAGGAAATGGCTAATGCTGAGGGAGGAATTTAGTAGATGGATGATAAATTGACATTGGGATTTCTTGAGTTAGGAATATGGGAAGAATATGAGGAGCAGTGTGGGGGGGAACTGAGAGACAGAAGTGAGAAACTTTGAACACTGCTGGGAATGGGGCAGAAGAAGGTGATGTTTCTGGAAGGAATTAGTAGAAAAGCCTGAACCTAACTGATCACATACTCCCCCAGAACCTGGCATATGCCCAAGGTCTGTGAGCAGAGATGATGGAAGAAAAAGGAAACTTTTAGTGAAATTTTCAAAATGTATTTTTGTTCCAAATTGGACCCTTTAAATTTGAATCGGTCCCAGTTTAAATTTTCTAGAAACTGTTATTTTTTTCTTTGAAAATTTCTAGCCCC